AGAGGACATTCTTTTTAACCTAGTCCTAACTACCAGAGCTTGATCCTTCTCGATAAGGAAGGGGACCAACTCTGCCTTCACTAAGGCTACTTCCCCACGATCACGGGATTTAACTGTCCGATTAACTCTTTTCTCACAAGCCGTTTGAGCCGCTAATCTATCTTGATTGAGTCGACGACTGTAATCGGCAGCAAACGTTCGAATTTTAGATTTTAATTTGTCCCAACAGACATTTGATCCCGTAATTTCTGCCCACCAAATAATGAGCAGTTGAATTTCCAGTAGCCATCAATCCTAAACTTAAGCTTTTCTAAGTTTACACGGATCCGGACAAGCCTATGATACGAATAAACATGTAATGGAAGCTTGGATAACTAAGAGCCCTAAATCGACTCTCCTAACTAAAACTCGGTCGCAGTAGTTACCCCGCACATCCACAACCGAGCTGCCACTATTTGTCTAAGTCCAAGCTAGCCCCTGAGGGTGCTCATTCCGATATTTGTCGACAAGATCAAACCCATCGACAAAATCGTGAAAAGGTTACACGCCCCAGTTAGTACCCGAATTTGAATTTGACCCTATACGATCTATGTCGGGGTCAAGGATGAATTCCAATCACTTGCTAAAATTACCCGACGTGATGTCATCATAAACGGCCTGATCTGCCTTCATAATTGCGAGAAGAAAAACGGGTCTCTTGCACACAACATATATTCACCCCTAAGCGCTGTAGGTCGCGAGAGAGCCTCACCCTTCGAGTCTCCAACCTCATGCCTCGGACATTCACACTTGCCAACCAGAGTGACATTATCATACCAATTAGGGTTGTCCTCCAGAATAGAACATAACCGGGGTGAGGAAACCAACATCCCGTCCCATTGATCCAGACGTCATTTCAATTTCGACAGTATCATCATGAGACTAGCCGCCGATGTCCGCTGGATAGGTTAACTTAAGCGCTCTATAATGGGATGGGTGAAAAAAAAAAACGGGGACCCTCCCTGTACAATGTTATTTCATTTCCGACATTGGAGGTTCAAGCAAATAGGCAGCTGGGAGCACCAATTTCAGAGACACATTTGCCTCCTCTATCATGCCCCAAATTTCCCACGTACCCGGGCCAGATTTCACAACGGCCAATACTCTCCTAGAAGATTTGAAGTTTTCGGGCACTTCAATGTGCACTCCATTGATATGCCAAAGATCCCATAATACTTTTAAAGCTTTCGGGTTTCTTATTTGCCCGAAAACTCTTTCCGCTTGTTCCCGGGATACGCGGCAGCCGTCTTCCCTTGGGAGATATGGCGGCTTTTTTCTCCTATCCACTGTGACCTGAAACACGGGGCTTCTACTCCTCATCGTTTGAGGAGATTGTGTAGGTGTCGTTATAGGTGTGCTTATGGGAGTATTAGAGGGTGAAATGCCAGAAGTGGTCTTAAAAGTGTAAGGTGTTGTGGATGAACAGGCAGTTTGCGATTTGGTTTAGACGGTGTGCTTCTCAGTGAGGCGGAGGTGGTTTAACAAAAGATTTTTGGTAGTTGAAGGGAAAGACGGAGCAGAGGATGAGGTGCCTCCATCGATTTTTGTTTTTTTGCCTGCTTTGCATGAAGCTTCTCCTTCAGGTTTTTCAGGTCCAGGATCTTCTGCCAACTCGGTTCATTCATTTTCTGGTTGGTTGATGCTGTTTTTTCATACGACGCTGAGGCGTCACCCTCAGAGCTGGTAGAGGGAATGGGACTGTAGGTGTTTTTATCCCTGGGGTCATGCTGGGACAGAGGTCCCGCTGTTCTGTTCTTCCCTCTGCTCCTACCCACGACACGCCATTTCCCCTCCACCTTCTCCTTGTCCACACTTGTGGGAGGCGTCGGTTCGGAGGGTAATGTGGGCGAAGACTCGACAGAGCGATTGTTCTCACCGGTCCGTGTTGCAGATAGGACCATTATAGCCGCCGCAGATTTAACAGTCTCGGCTAGAGGGGGATTTTGGTCGCCAGCGGCCGGAACTCTAGGGGTCTTCTTCCCTGGGCAGGAGGAGGAGAGATGACCAGTATCTCCACACCTCCAGCAAGTATGTTTTCTACCGGTCACGATGACCGGCATTTTCCGACCGCAAAAATCCAAACAGTTGGAGATGGAGACGAAGGCCGAACGATCCAGCATTATCTCAAATGTCCATCCACCGTTCAGGTTTTCGGAAAGATCCCTTAAAATTTGGCTGTGCTGCATAAAAAATGCAGCTACGTGCTCTCCCGTTACCTGAGGAAGGACCTCCAATACGGTCACTGTGGTCTTTTGCCGACGCACGTATACTCTTCTAAGAATAAGGTGTTTCGTTATCAATTCTTTTTTGCCATTTCAAGGCAATCTTCGGCTGTGGCCAGCAGTGCGTTCCACATGAAAAATCAGAACCATTAATTACTCTTTGGGGTTTAATTCCCAGGGACAAAAGTGATTTGATCACCGTGTTTTTCGTGGAGCGACAAATTTTGCGCGTACACTTGTCCATCACGAAGACCGACACCATTCTGTTTTCGAATACCTTTAGTTTTTGGACTTCTTCAAGGAGCCCATCTTCTTTTACAAGATAAGCGTAGACCTTGGCCTTTTCCAAGAACTCCGCGATATTCACGATACAGCTCAGTGGGGACTTCACACAAAAGGGCGATTCCCCGGCAGTCTCCTTAACTTGTGCCTCATTTGGCACCTTGCCATCATTGGTAATGTTTGTGCCAAGCATTGTCTCCTCTTTTCCAGAGCTAGCAGGCTCCGAAAGTAACTGATATATTGATACAACTTATTAACCCTTACGCCCCTTATTTAAATAATTGCTCTAGCCGTTTCCGTATTAATTTAATTTTAATAATGAAAATGCTTATAAAGACACGTAAATTTCAATATTAGTTATTCCAAAAATTTCGCTTGAAGATGAAACAGAGCTTGGTACTTTAATTCGATTTAATTTTAATAATTATATTGAAGTTTTCGGCTCTTCGTTTTGAAACATGAGAACTCTTATGTAGCGGAGGAATCATACTTTTTAAAAATAATTATAATTTAAGCTCTACTTTTGTATCGAGCACTGTTTTTCCAAAAATAAAAAAAAAATACTAAAAAGGTTCGGATTATTAACCTAACGAAGTTCTTTCCTATTTTCTATATATTTGCACACACACACACACACACACACACACACACACACACACACACATATATATATATATATATATATATATATATATATATATATATATACACCGGGTATACCAGCATAATTTTCCATCACACAAAATATTTAATATCTAAAAGCATTAAAATAAGTGAATTTCATTTTTACATGTTTTCGGATAAGCCATCTTGAAACGATTTATCTTAAGAATCAATGACCTTTGAGTTATTCAGCTACAAATAGAACATGTTTGTGTCAGACTCACTGCCTTCTCAACTGAGCAATGTTTAGAGGAAAAGAAAATCATTCAGGTCTTCATTATTGGTACAATCAAGAGAACGGTAAATTTTTAAAAAGGTGGGGACTGTAGAGCGGAAAACTGAATTAGTAGGTCACAACAGCAAGAGGGATCATCATATCAACTTAGAACGAAAGAGATCAATTAGAAATAACTCAACTCAATTCATAAGACGTTTGGCACGTGATAGAGGCGTTTCACCTCTAACAGTTCAAAGAGCGGGGAAAAAATAAAAATGAAATCGTACGTGAAAACTGTATAGGGATTTGTTGCTGCAGGATAGAAAATTGGAAGGTTAGATAGGGCGAAGATCATCTTGAATAAGTTCGAAAATGATCCTAGAATAATATATATATATATATATATATATATATATATATATATATATATATGAAATTAATGTCTATACTTCATAACCTTCGCTCCTTAGCTATGATTAATTAATGGTGAACGTGTCATTTTAGATTATGATCGATTTCATCACGATTCTTCTGTTCAGCTTGGAGACTAATTGTAAATTCTTATTGCTCAAAGTAGAAAAAATAAATAAAAACTTCTGTAAATTCTAGTAAAATATCTTTACCCATTTCTAAAATACAACGATTCAGAGCTTAATCTAGCAATTGTACAATTTTACTGTTACACCATTTATTCAATGTTGCTATTACCTCCTGTATATATATATATATATATATATATATATATATATATATATATATATATAGTGTCCATTTTTTGTAAGAAACCTGATTTCTTCGTATAGCTCGTGTATAATGCAACGTGTAAATAACCTGTATACATTTTCACCCCCTATTTTTTACGTAAGAAATCTCATAAACACTCGCACTATATACACGCATTCGGTTTGAGATCGTGCGTGAGTCAGGGGCTCCTTGAGAGGGCGCCCTTTCATAGCGATAGATGAAACTCAAGTGGTTGTTCTTTGACAGTGAAGCATCATCAGAATTTTTTTAAAGTATTTCAACCAAAGCGAGGCAGTAATGCCACTAGCACGCAAGGGGTTACAGAGAGTGGGAGCAAGAGTAAAGAGGCGTGATAGAGGAAAAGATTTGAATAGTTGGAGATTATAGCTGTCAGAGAAACAAGTAATGGGAAGGGAATTGAACAGATGGGAAGTGCTAGACATGAAGCTATTGGAGTAGAAGAGATAGTCACATTTAACCATTTCGACAGTGAAAGGGTAGGGCAGTGATGCCAGCCCAGTAGCACGCTTAAATTCATGCAATCTGGGAACTAGTGAAAGTAGCTTGTCGGAGCACTTACCGTGAAGGTTTTGTAATAAAGACAGAGAGGGGGGACGACAGGTCTGTGAGAGAGTAACTGCAGACGAGATGACAGATCAGGTCCAACAATATTTCATATTCATCTCTGGATTTTGTCGAGAACTTTTTTTTTAAGTCATAGATTATGATGATATAGTATTTTTCACCATTGAACTGTTAAAGCTAAATCAGCGGAGAGATCAGTAGCTAGGATTTTATTTTACGGCTTAAAATCGATCTGTGAATTAATTCAAATGGAAACATATTTGTGACTGTCTATACAAAGTCAAAGCAAGGGCGGTTAGACGAAAGACTTAGCAAGTCACGAATTCAAGGAACACACAGTTAATATTTCCATAACACGATTTAACCTGGAAATAGTGGACATTATATGAAGAAGAACAGAAAAGATAATGGAAGCTATGCTTGTTGAGTAGATGTGAATTCGAAAGTGGAATATTTAAGAAAGACTGATGCCCGCTCATTTACCAGAATGAATATTTCCTGTGAATATTCTGTCATGTTCTTGACAGCGTTCATATCTTTAACATTATCATTATTGTGATATGTGCATACACAGTTTCATTCAAAATTGAAAATATCTATCTATCTATCTATCTATCTCCTTCTAATCATACATATTTATCAATCTATCTCATTCAGTCCTAATCTCTCTTTATATGGAGGCTAATTCGTTACCTCTTCGCCACCGAGAACCGTTGGAACAGTTGATATGTCGTTTGCCTCCTATCGTAACTATTCAGATTTCATTTCTTGGGAGTGGATGCACACTGCTGATGAGTCCCAAATATAGGACGAAAGAGCCGTCCAGTGCTTTCTGCATTCTGTTGAGGTTGCTTCTTGACTCGATGAATTACTAAATTATGATTATTTTAAATCCTCCAAATTATTTCTCTCTCTATATCTCTCTATATATATATATATATATATATATATTTATATATATATATATATATATATATATTCCAAAATTTACGCTTTTGAAGATGAAAAAGAAAATATCTTATAACTTTTAATTTAATTATATAATTAAATTTGAGAGATGTTTTTAGCACCGGCTTTATAAAATACATACTTATTTTATTTAATACACTTTCACAGACACACACACACATATATATATATATAAACAGTTATTAAAAACTAGAAATGTTGAATTGAAACCATATTTTAAAATAAAACAGTTAAACTTTATAATATTGATGCTCTGTAAATTTACATTGAGCACTGTTTTGCCTGAAAAATAAAGATAAAAATAAAATATCAATTATAACACCGGATTATATATCTTACTGTTCTTTCTTTCGTCCAACCGCTATATATATATATATATATATATATATATATCTTTATATATATAGATTGAAAAACAACACGAACGTTATTTTACGTTGGAGAACCACGGAAACGAAGATAGACCGGACATTTACCACCGAAGCAGGTTTGTTTTGTTGAACCTAGCGGTCTCTCATCTCGTTTGAACAATGTTCAACGGATAACCATTGTTCACAAAGATCTCAGGGTTTCACGCCCTTTAGCGAAATCGTCAGAAATATATAAATAATTATATCTACTACACCATTATATTTATTTATAAACCTTTATATACACTTTTCAAAACAGACCCACACACACACACCATCGATATATATATATATATATTGCCTGAAACTTCTTTCGACAAACATAGTCAAATTTCATGAGTTCAACGAACACTTCTTCAGGTATATTCGGAGGGAGTCAAATCTCAGTCTGACCATAACATTCCAAATATCTAGTCTCCGATAAAGGAACACAAGTGAAGAGGCTACAGATGTCAAAGTTCCATTTCATTCCGACATATTTTGCAACTATGTATTTATTTGCCTCATCGATAATATGGGTCTTTCTATAATCAATATAGACGGGGACTCCCCTCTTCTCCGCCATTTTAGAGGAAAGAACTCTTTTTACCCATTTGACAAGACGTTTCTCTTTCTCTCTCATGAGTGTCAATGGAACCAAGACGTTGAAACTATATATATATTTTGTTATATATCATGGCGGTCCATGACTTTATCCGGTTTAGTTAACCAAAGAATATCCTGTTTAATGATCTGTGGGAGAACTAGTATAAGAATTCATTCAATTTAGCAAAGTCTGTTTATGTATATTTTATCTAGATAAATTCAGAAAAATATTCTCCCTACTAATAGAAGTGAAAGGAATATTTAAGATAGCTATCTCTGATCAAATTTACTCTTTTTTTAGTTGGTTCAACCATACAGCCAAATCTATCTATCTTATTCTGATCTATCTATCAAACCAACGTATCTATCTATCTATCTAGATGATATCAGGTTGTTATATATATATATACATATCTTTCCATTTATCAATCTATCAGTCTATCTCAGTCACACCATTATCTTCCTATCTATAGTTATTTCATACATATTTAACATATTTATATATAAGTCTTTCTATATCAATCTCTCCCCTCTCTCTCCCTCTCTATATATATATATATATATATATAATCAGATTGAATCAATTATCTGTCTTTCTCAGTCTGTTTATATTGATTCAATCAGTCTTTATAGATTATCTCTTTATAATATAAATCTATATCTATCTATCTATCAGGTTGTTCTATCTTTCTATCCGCATACCTAATATATACATATATGTATATACAAACATATATATAATACGTTTATATATATATATAAAATATATGCTGCCTAATGTAATATATATATATATATATATATATATATATATATATATATATATATATATATCTATATATATCAATCTGTTCATTATCTATCTACTTCAGTTCATAATATTAATCAATCTATCTTATTTTTTTTTTTTGTATCTAAGAAACATTGCATCTCTATCTCAAATATTTCATATCTAGCTATCAATCGATATAATGTGAAATTGTTCATATATATATATATATATATATATATATATATATATATATATATCTCTCTAGGATCGAGATATAAACGAATTACTTCAATTCAATCAAGAAGTTATGTTCCTCAAGGTATTTGTATTTTATCACCCATATTCAAAATAACTCTTTAAAATTTCTCCGTACTTCAAGGTGAGCAATTTCCTCCTTTATCGCCTCCGCTAAATGATCTGAAAGACGAAGCTTTGCTGATAAAAATGACAAAATCATATAATATTTTTTTCTAATTCAGTTTGGCAAGATTGGAATTTGTCAATATGCTTAGCAGCTACAAAATATCGCCGCCTGTCTTCTCTGATATAAATTTTATTTCAATATCATTTCGAAAATGGCGTACAACAAAATTGCTACTTTATTAAATAATCCCATTGACTATTTCAATATTACATACTAACATAAGCAATATGTGCGAAAATCCGATAAAGTACTGACGCAGTAACTGAATCTAAATGAGTATTTCAATGACCAGACATCAATGAGATGATATTTGCGACAGTGCGTCGAACTTAGAAGGTTAACGCTCTCTACACAAATTATCGCTGGGTGCGTTACCAATTGCTCAGAAGAGAGAGAGAAACAGGGAAACAGATATGAACAGTTTGAGATACATAGATAGATATGAACAGACTGACATAGTCAGCTAGATAGAAAATGTGCAGAGAAACGAGCAGACAGACCGACTAATAGATAAATAGATATGAACAGACTGAGATAGATAATGCGCATATATATATATATATATATATATATATATATATATATATATATATATATCGATCCTGTATCCTATAAGGAACTGTCATATAGCCTGACGTGTGTCAACCGATTGGGCCACAGAGAAGCGTTCGGTTAGCAAGGTCGATTTTACTGTTTTTAAACACAATTCTCCATGATTTTCTCTCTTTCGTTCATATCTGCTCAATGCGTATACAAATGTAAACACATGACGTCATACATTATGAAATGGATAATGTCTGACAATTATTTTTTAATTTTAATTTTTAAGACATTTGTATCTAGGAAAAGAACGTATAATCGTAAAAATGTCTTAATATATATATATATATATATATATGTATATGAATGAATGAATGAATGAATGAATGATAAAATATACTTTTAGTGTATGCTCTCTTTTATGGTTTAATAACGGGAATAAAGCGTATGTAAATATAAAAGTGGACATTGAAGTCAACACTCAGCGGCAACAATCTGTTTAATGTATATACGCAATTGTCAGTGCATATGTGGTATGTTTTGCTCGATTATTTATTGCCGCCGCTGGGTGTTGACTTCAATATTCACTTTTATATTTACAATAAATATTCGAGTAAAAACACAAGAAACGATTTTTTAAAAATAAGACGAAAGATGCTTCCCGTTAGCTTCTTATAATATATCGATTTAATCGATTAATGAAATTTGGGGAAGAAAAAGTCAACAGAATGATAACAATATTTCGAATAAAATTGATAATATTTATGTACAGCTCATTCTTGAATCTCTTATTGATAGTTAAATAGTCGATTTGATTTTTCGCTTCTCCTCCTGGGCTTTTCATCATGTCCCTATACGTCTTCGAAATACTTGGAACAAAGTGTTGGCTATGGGACAGACACTGGTGGTCGTAGCGCTAATACATGATGTCCTCTGGTCACGACAACAATATGTGACACTGCGCTGTCGGCCCGTGGTCAACTACTAGTTGCGGTGCGAAGCTGTAAGGTTTCTTCCACCAGCGTTCGGGGTTGACTCCTTGCCGCTGCCAACAGCCTATTTCTCGGCCGGTCTGGTCGTTCCCGGTTCGATACCAGCTTTGCTGTTTCCAGCTCACTTCCAACGTCTGGTTACCGGAGTAACTACTTTGATCTCAAGTCTAACCTACCCACGTTGTGTCTTTGATCTTAGGTAGACGAAATCTATCAGGCGTCGGGCCGTAGTGCAAGCTGAATCCGGGGTGAAGGTGATATCGCACAAGCGTAAGTAAAAGAAGCAATAAAACAAAACTCAAGAGGTTGAAATATGTCGAGAAATAACAAATTATATTTATCCGTCTGTTATATACAGGAGGGTGTTTCTCTCCCAGTGCGTTTCTATGGATTTGTGATTCTTTTTCGTTTTTTAAGCGAGTTTTGGTATCTTAAGTCGTTCGTCAATATATCTTGCTTTTAGTAGGAAGTCGAAGTCGAGAGGGCGACGAATTTCTTGGTCAGCTTCTGCGAGGCAACACTCTCACTCTGTCCGGAACAGAACTCCGACTCCAACTGCGAATCAACTGCCCGGGGACGTTCGTTTACATGGACACCGACTAAAACCTGGTGTGGGGCCTGACGAGGTTTGGGTTCCTCGATAATTCTTGATTCCCAACATGAATTCTCTTTGTTCTTATACCAGAAAAAATAATCACTTCCCATTTTTGGAAGATTAATTACTTTCCTTTTCGGGGGATTCTTCCTCGTCTGTGATGGAAGGTCGGATGAGAGTTAGCCTCCTAGACTCTTCCTCTCTCACATTTGTATCTCGTACCAATCCCCTCAGTGGGTGTTAGCAAATCCTCCGTCTTTCTCATACATTCACCTACGCCTATCACCCATGCTACCACTTGACCAATGATCTCTAGGCAGTGTGGGTGTGGCTAGACTGGCCCTCTTAAAACTTATTATCCAGAATTTTGTTTACAAAATCCTTTATTTTTCTATTTTCCTTCGGCCAAAACATTTTTTTTCACACACCCCAGATTGCCAAATTATCACATCTTTTTTTGGGGGACACCCAAAATTCACTTAGTCACGTCTCTTTACCGACTCATCAATCACTGTCGAAATCCGACATCTTGCATTTCTGCTAAGTCACCTTTTAACTGGGAGGTCTGTATTTTACCTGAGAATCAAATTCTTTATTTTTCTCATGCTCAAAATCCTCTTATCACCAGATGCCCATTTTCGACGACGCTGTGTCTGACGTCAACAGTTTGAAAAAGTAATAATACGATTTTCTTCCTCATGCCAGAATTCTAACACATACCAGATGGTTTCCCTTCGTTGGTCCCAGGAATCAAAATTAAATGATATCTCTGAAAGATAACTAATATCGATTCTCTCTGCCTGTATCGGGGTCGTCCGAAATTTTTTTATGACCGCCATGTGTCGACCGGCTTTGTTTTTCTTTCTGAATTCTCTTTCCCTTGGCGCGTCATTCCTTTACCATGACATTAATCTGTTTTGATAGAATCTCATATCTCACTTTTTCTTAACGATATTGGTATTTTTATGTAAGTGGGAGGAAAAAATTCTCGTTGTGATGACACTCATGCTAACGCAAGCATACATGCATACCCGTACACCCACTGAAGTATGCAGACACACATGAACACGCGCTCGCCCATCGGAGCTCACACAAACATAAACATATGTTGACAGTATGGGACTTGACATATATACAGTTGTTAATTGGGGCAAGAATTGGCTGGTCAACTTTAACGCCTCAAAAACTAAACTGTTCTCTATTAATCACCATAGAGATCCTTCCCTGCACCCCCCCCCATTAGAATGTCTGATGCTCAACTTCTTGGGAGCAACTCCCTGCGTCTGCTCGGTCTCAGGTTGACTGCTAACCTGAGATGGAACAAATACATTGAGTATTGCTGTCATATATGGTCTGGTGCACCTTATGTTTACCTCGGAGTTCTTGACAAGATCCAGAAGCGGATATGTAATATAATTGGCCCTGATCTGGCATCTCGTCTACAGTCACTCTCTCACAGACGCGCCGTAGCCACTCTCTGTCTTTTCTACAAATACTTTCATGGTAATTGCTCCGATGAGCTGCTTTCACTGGTTCCCAGACTCCATGAATTCAAGCGCCCTACGAGGCTGGCATCCCGCTCTCACCCTTTCACTGTAGACATTTTTAAATGTAGCCGTCTCTTCTACTCCAATAGCTTCATACGTCACACCTCTCGCCTGTGGAACACCCTTCCCAATTACTGTTTCCCTGAGCGATATAATCCCCAACTATTCAAATGTAATGTCAATCATCTCCAGTTGCCTTGATCTATCCACTATCCTTCTCCTCATCCTTTCTTCTATCTCTCCTATCTGCTCTTGTTCCAAATCTTCTGCAACCCCCTGCATCCTAGTGGCTTCACACCTTGCTCGGAGCGTAATGATTAAAAAAAATATGTATACTGTTGTCTACATACATACGCATTTGATTGTTGAATTTCAATGATGGGACGTGTAGCCAATTTCTTTTGAATGTAGCGATGTCAACAGTCAGACCATTTCTCTACTTTTCCACTGAATAAAATTTCCTCGCACGCACGCATATATGTATGGTGAGGTTTGGGTAAAACTATGATAGGTAAAAATTGCTATTATTTTTAATTTTTTAATGTCTGTTTTGTTATTATTTCGAAGCTGGTTATTTCCTTATTTTTGATGTCTGCGCATATGTAAATGTAGAAATTGCAGTTTGTAATCCGTTTTTATACGGTGGCATTAAATTTGCTGGGTAGGGAGGAGAGTGGTAATTTACGTTAACTATATATATATATATATATATATATATATATATATATATATATATATATATATAAGAACATTGAAGTCGCAATCGTCAGGCCGCCAGTGCTGTTTTTTTCTCGGCTATTTATATATACGGTCAGTGGTGCATTGTGGGTAGTCTATTTTGGCGGCTATTTTGCCGTAAGTTTTTCTTTCTTTCTTTTTTTTTTATTTGGGCTAGATTATTTTGCTTGTTTTTATTTATTTTTTTATTTTTATTTTTATTTCTTATCTTATATATTTATTTTTATTTTAATCGGTGTTTTATTAACGTAATAAAATTTTTATCGCCTATTTAATTGTTTTGTTTAGGTTCGGGAAGATAATTAAAGTTTTTTATTCAATTTTGAGTTTGATTACTGTAGTTTATTCTAACTATTATTTTGGCGAGAGCAGTTTTTAATTTTTTTATTACTTCATTTATTTATTTGGTTTGATTATCCTTACTTGTTTTTTTCTAACGGTTAATTTATCGGGATCGGTTTGTTATTTTGTCTATTTATTTATTCATTTGGATTAATTTAGAGGAATTTATTTTACTTGTTTCGTATTATTATTTATTATATTGAACAATAAAAAATATTATATATTAAAAATTTAAATCTTCAGACACACTGGGTTGTAGATTAATATTCTTTAGTTTTTTTTATTATTATTATTTCATTTAGATTACGGATAGCCAATAATTCGGTGTTTATTGGTTCTGTTGGTGTTATGTCCTTGGCTTTGGGTTCAGTCCCGTGTCTATTATCCATGATTATATTTTGAACAATAAAAATATTAAACAATTAAAATCTTCAGACATATATATATATATATATATATATATATATATATATATATATATATATACTGTGAGCAATTGAGCAAAGAGTTAAATCACGAGTTCCCGAGTCTGAGTAGAAGTGTTAGAACTGAGACGAGGTATCCCTAGACATAGGCAGGGAAACGGGAATAATCTATCCCCTATATATCGATTAAATAAATAGTTCGGTCCGAAATTCCTTGTCAGTTACACGGACTGATATAATCTGATGAAGACTAAAGGGCTGGTCAACTGAAATGTTGTGATACCATCAACAAAGAAGCAGAACATATTCCGGATGTAAATATTGTAAACAATTCTGCAACGAAGCTTTCACTATGCACAGTTGTAGAACTACAACTCGACTTGCTCACGAGAAAATCCTCTTCGTATCCTGATTTCATACATTTCATTATAGCAGGCGACACCATCATATCTTCGTTTTAAACAGAAAGGCATTCAATTTTTAGGCGAAACTAGTTTTGTAAAATTTACTTGAAAATAAGGAGTCATATTACGCAGATAATCACTGATCATTTTACACAACATTTTCCAGGAGGAAGGGAAATTGAATTGTGTAATGTTTCAAAACAAGGGTGAAAATATTTGATAAAAAAAGTCATTTACTTATTTCCTGAAAATCAATCAATATTTTTCTTTTAAAGAAAAAAGAAAATGGCGAAACACGTAAGGTTAAACTTAAAATGAAAATTACTTGTTTCTCTTTTTTGGATTAATGTCAGGGACGTATTTACAGGGTCATTGAAAAGCAAATCCCTATTTTATATATGATGAATTCCCGTGTCTTGTAAACTGTATAATTAGACGGGAGAGTCGATCATACATAAAATAGGGAGGCAACCTGTACACTTAATGTATGTTATTTTAAAATATTTATTTAAATATATGTGAATGTAGAGAAGACTGGTAGAAATTCGTTGATTCCAATTTTACACAATAAGAAATGAAGTCCTTTAAAACCGAAAATTTCTCAACGAACGTCTACGTTAGTTGAAATAATCAAATATTTATCTATGTGGAAGACTGTTCATATCTATCTATCTATCTATCTATCTCTCTCTCTCACACTCTCTCTCTTTCTCTCTCTCTCTCTATATATATATATATATATATATATATATATATATATGTATTGTCTACCCTCCTGTCTACCTGTCTGCCTCGAAGTATTGTTAATTTCTATCTATCTATCTATCTATCTATCTATCTATCTATCTATCTATCTATTTGTCACGAAGTCTTGTTAATTATCTATCTATCTATCTATCTATCTATCTATCTATCTCTCTCGATGTGTTGTTAATATCTCTCTATCTCTCTCGAAGTCTTGTTGATATCTATCTATCTATCTATCTATCTATCTATCTATCTATCTATCTATCTATCTAACCCGATGTGTGTTCATATCTATCTATCTCAGATAGTATATGAATATATTATTCGTCAGGTACATGATTTTTAACTGAATTTTGAACAAAAATCTTTACAGCATAATGCCCAATCAAGGCTAATATTGTCGGCACAAGCATGTGCATTAATAATGTTAGATAGATAGATAGATAGATAGATAGATAGATAGATAGATAGATAGATTTTTCCGGCAGGAAGTTCCCATATAGGCAAGAATTGATTTGATGCCGATTCCAGAGACTTGGAATGAATGATTGAACAATGACCCCCCCCACTGCATACGTGTGACCTCTGCCCAATCTAACATTGATTTCTTATTGCTGAACCCGTCATGCTTGAATAGTTCTACACATTTGCAGGCATCGATAATGCAAATGCTATGTGAAGAGAAACTGACTCAAGCAGAATTTGGATTTGAATCGTCGTTTACTTATTCCTCGCGGTTATCTTCTCTTTCACTGTGTCAGCAACAATGATATATATATATATATGGAACTGTGTTCCTGATCAAAAATAATTCATGAAAAAATATAATAGAGATGTCACTACATGCTTATCAAGAAAACTTACGTTGTATCTCTGAAACCTTAGTGCAATTAGGAACTATTTAAATTGAGACATAAACATACGAAAGTCCATCCGAAACATAATTATAGAAAATACGATCTATTTATAGACAATAGGGTCATAATATCCTCTTGCACATGTAAGAAAAACGACAAAAAATAATGGAAGCATTGATAATAGAAAAAAAAAAGACAATGCTAAACATGCTGGCACTGTTTGCAAAAAAGAAAAAAAAAATCCCATCATTATAGATAGGCACACACACACACGCAAATATATATATATACATATTGTTATGGGGTCTCCCCTTTTTCATACAAGTGGACTCGACCAGTGTCTACTTGGACTGCTGCCGATAAATACCGAGAGTCAGTCAGTGTAGAGAGAGCAGAAATTGTGATTGAGTTGGAGGTAGAGTAATAGTGTGAGGTAAACGCTTTTAGAAGTCACAGTTACAACCACGTAGACTCTAAGGAAGTCCTACTTCGAGACTGTATATATATATATATATATATATATTATTGCCACTAACCGTGTTTCTGGATTTACTAACTGATGTGGGGCCAAAGTCGGGACCACAGAAGGAAAACACGAAACACGGATTAGATGTAAGAAAGATATATTAACAACAGGTTACAGAGATAGTGTAAGCGGAGCTTACTATATGTTAGTGTCCACTACTGGTAGTCGTACGCGACTCTCACTCTCTGTCTAGAGTGTTGTCTCGCATACTTAATATAGACCTGGAAGAGTCTATTGTATAGGTAGTTTCGGTCTCACAATACTAACAGTATTACCAATTGTATTATTGTGTAAATACATTTATTTATTATATTTCATTACTGCGTTTGTCATTCATTGGAGACCATCTCTCTCTCTCTCTCTCTCTCTCTGTATATATATATATATATATATATATATATATATATATATATATATATATGTATGTATCAGGTCATCCCATAAGTTCTGTCCGAATTTTGAATAAAGAAAACAAGTGACCAAATGTTACACTTTATTACAGATTCAATCAAAAATGCATTTTCCCTGACTTCCTTCCAGCTATTCACAAGTTTACTTATTCCATTACTGTAAAATTCTTTTGGCTTTGATTCGAAGAACTCACAAATATCAGTTTTAACCTCTTCCTGTGTTACAAAAGCTGTTTCTTTCAAATGATTCTGTAAGCTACGAAACAAATTGTAGTCTGAAGAATCAAGATCGGGAGAATAAGGCGGATGAGGAATTATCTCCCAACCAAGATCTTTGATCTTTTGTGACGTCATTCTTGCTGTGTGGGGTTGCGCATTGTCCTGATGAAACATCACCCCTTTTCGATTCACTAAAGCTGGTCTTTTTTTCCTCAAAGCTTGGTTTAAACGCTCTAATTGCTGACAGTATATTTGAGCATTAATTGTTGTATTAGGTGGTAAGAATTCAAAGTGGATTATTCCTTGGCGATCCCACCAGATTGAAAGAAGAACCTTTTGTCCATGAAGTTCCCTTCTCGGCTGTGGCTGGGGTCCTTCCCCTTTATTAAGCCACTGTCTACGACGCTTAACATTTCGATAAAAGTTCCATTTTTCGTCGCCAGTTACAAGACTATACAAAAAGGTGAAACAAGTTGGCGAGAATGGAGAGAAGAGCAGATGTCAACTTGGGATTTGAGGTTGTTTTTAGACAATTCATGAGGCACCCATTTTCCAGGCTTAGGAACTTTTTTTTTGATGTTGAAGATGACGATGAACAGTTGTCTGGTTTGAACTGAGAACCACTGCCAATTCCTCAACTGATAAAGCAGGATTTTCTTCAAGGGCTGCTTCAAGAAGCTTTTAATCAAACTCAACTGGAAGTCCGGTTTGATCTTCATCTTCAAGGGTGAAATCTCCATCTCTGAATTTTGAAAACCATCTTCTGCAAGTTCTTTCATTCACACATTCCTCTCCATAAACTGAGTGAATGTTTCTAGCCGCTTCGGCTGCTGAGTTTCCTTTCTTGAACTCATAAAACATTATGTGCCTCAAATGATTCTTGGGTACTTCCATGTTAGCAGGGTTTTAATCAAACAAAATTTAATTTTATTGTTCTCTGAAATAAAATTTGATCAGTTTAAATGCATCTAAACATAAAAATAATGTTCAGCTTCATTAGACATTATTAAATAGCCTTTAAATTTCGTTCATTTTAACAAAAAGTTAAAATTCGGACAGAACTTATGGGATGACATGAAATTAGTAAAATCGAAGCTTTAATAAAAGTGAAATATGTTAGATTGACAACATTTTCTTATTTGTTCTTTATCTCATCATTCTGTCAAACTCCGATCCATATTTGATCAATATTGGATCCCAACTAATATATATATATATATATATATATATATATATATATATATATATATATATATATATATATATATATATATGTTCAGATTAAGTGTAACGTCTAGGAAGTTTACTATTTTAAATTTAGAAATACCCAAAACTCCACTGAATTTCAAATTAATTTCTTCGTAGATTGTTTTTAAAATTTTAGATATTTATCAAACCTTAACCTCCCAAATATGCACGTTAAAGTAACGCGAACTAACAGCGTCTAGGAATTTGAATGAAACCTGTCGGATAATTTATTGGGGCTGTTATAACGCGTCTTCCTCAATGTAGCCTTTATCGCCCACCCCTTAACCACCTTTATCTAGAGACGAGACGCGTTAGATTAAAGCAACATCCAGCCGATACACTGGGGTTAAAATAGAAAACTAAAATGATACATATGACACACTCACATCCTCTCTCCCACCTCACTTCCTCACTTTGTTAACTTTGCGTATTTTTTCATGAGGTAAAAAACGTGTGAATTTCTTTTCATTTTTCATTTCAGCTTTTGGAAGTAAAGTCTGATGATCCAGAACCCTGTTAAAGGGGTTATGGTGAAATAGCTTATTACATAGAATCTTAACGTGGTCTGTCTTTTATTCAAAGATATATATATATATACATATATATATATATATATATATATATATATATATATATATATTATCATCTGAATCCAACAGAGATAAAATAGAATATATATATATGTTTATGGGTTTTTCATTTAGGCTTCCAATCTTTTCATTTCTTGAACCTTATTTTAAAATGAAAATATGATACTTAAATTACATTAGCAACCTTTACTGAATCCATTTCTAAAGAACCTAACGTATGTTTATCTAAAACAATCGGTACGTACGTAAAAATGTTGCCAAATCAACATACGAAGAAACAGATCTACTAGACACTTACACTTACGACTATACAATATACTTTGGATTCCATATAGATAAACTCGTCTTTTCATTAACTTAATTGCATATAGCTCCTTTTATGGGTTTTTTCAGGTAGGTTTGAAGTCATGAGAAAGCAGATGGATGTTTCATCACTCACTGAATTCGGAATGCCGTAAAATATACTAACGCTGTTTTAAAAGACTGGAATGCCCATTCTACACAACTGACCAATGAAAATCAAACAACAAAAGGAAAAATACCAGAATTTCTTTCATTTTTCTCCATATCTTAGTCTTTGACGATACTTTAATAAAAAGGAAACATGTTAGATTCATGAAAATTTCCTATTTGTCCATTATTTTATCATATATATATATATATATATATATATATATATATATATATATATATATCCAAGTATAGGATTGGTGTATGCAAAATAGATTCCAATAACCATCAAATACTATTCTTAAAAGAATGCTCAATACAGAGTAGACCAACTATAAACATGTTATAAAATCACTACAAAAATAACCATTTTGTTTCAACACTTTTGGTTATCAAGTGATGGTGTCTTATCAAGAGATGGTGTTGAATAAGACACCAAAAGTGTTGAAACAAAATAGCTATTTTTGTAGTGATTTTATTTATGTTTATGTTATAATTTTCGAATAAATCATATTATATATATATATATATATATATATATATATATATATATATATATATATATTCGTGAATTACTACAATATTCAAAAAACATAGCGTCGCGTTACTGCACGCTCAAGAAAATTCTTAACTGTTAATAAAATCACAATGAAAAAAAAACATCATTCTACAAGTATCACATTCATTTTCGTCTGGAAATTTTACCCGAAATTATTTGAAATTGAGAAAAAAATAACATCTTTGCCTGAGGATGGGACAATTTTACAGAAAGTACTTGCAATATGGACCGAATATCTAATCCATTTCACAAGTAATAAAAACAACGATCACGTCGTTCAGCGAGTGGTCAGTGAGCTAATGCCTGATTTAATCTGTTAGTGAAGTGAATTCGCCATTGATTACTTTAACTTTATTGATTTATTCTTTGAATGACTACTTCCTTTTAATATATATACATATGTGTGTATGTGTGTGTGTGTATAAAAGAAAAAGACAAAAGGAGAAATGTTTTAGCCCATGCCTTTAGTCCAATATGGACATTGTCA